AATGTGTTTTTAATGCCTTCCTAAGTGATGATGTGATACTCAATAGCAGTTTGAATAGGGTATGTAATTCTAAATGTTTGTACCGGAATATCGGAATGCACATCCACTTGTCTTGGTGCATGATTTCAATAATGTATGCTTAATGTACAAACGTAATTGTCTAGCTAGCGGGATGATATTTATGTAAAATATCTGACACGTAGCCTGGTACAGTAATGCTCATTCAAGCAAGTCCTATTCGACGGAATCCGGAATTAGGCCAGAATTCCGGATTCCGTAGAAATCGCTGCTGAAATTCGGTCTGAGTACAGAATACTTGACAAGAATGCGATGTGCTCAACTAGAGCGCCTCAACGATCCTCTCCTATATGATACCTTATACACTGTAGTTTGATACTTACTATACAATTATTATTACCTGTACTAGAGTGAAGTAGCGTTCAATGTAGTGTGTTCAGTGTAACTAAGGTGAAACTAGTGAACGCTACCCTCAGCAAACACTGGAGAAGCTAATTAACCATATTTGGGTACGAACCACACCGAGTTTACGACTCTGTTAGCCTCGCTCAACTGGTCCGTAACCAGTCTTGTGATTGGTTGTTGACATATTCTGAATAGACCACGCCTCCAACTGTGCCGTGCTTTCGGGGCAACCGTTATTTATTTATAAATGGAGCCAATTTGTGTAGTTTTCTTGATTTATTCTGCAGATATCGGTAAAATATAGTTATGGCTTTGTCGAAATTTGAAAGAGCAACAAATATTCTTCAAGCTGGTATTTTTTTAGGTTTTATTTTTCCTTCTGTTTGACTGATTTTTCGAGTTTAAAAAATGTGAGCTGGCCGGAGCCTTCAGCCCTTGTCTATTTCTTACACTAGATACCAGCCAATACCCCTTCCCCAACTCCGTACAGTTGATCATAGTTCTTGGGCTCCCTGTGGCCTAAGTAGAAATCATAATAGACTATGTATTGAATATTTCTGTTAACAACTATATGCCGACATCGCATACTAGACTGTGTTAAATATTTCAGTAAACAACATAATAATAATAATAACAATCAAGACGTAATAAAAGGGGCATAAATATTAGACACTTAAATACTTGTATTTTTTATTTGAATTAAAATCAAGTAAATATATACGATTAAAAAACAATGGATATCTAAATGCAAGTCACTCAATATGTTTCGTCTACTGACCAAAACACCACTATTGTCCACTCCAGAATAAACTGAATATCGTTAAACAAACCTATACAGCCAACACTTCACTAATGTCGGCAACATTACTTGTAACGCTAATTTCAAATACTGAAGATCGTTTATTTTTCAGAAAAGAGCCTGGGAACGAAACGTCCACCCTCGTCGAAACTCTTTGGCCGAAACTTCCGGCATTCGTTGAAATGTGGGTGAACGCGTCGGGTCACTGCGAGGAAAAGTGCGTGAATGTCGGTGTTAGATTGCAAGGATAATAAAAATAATTGAGAGCGAAACACGGCAAAAAATTCAGAGTGTGATTCAAGTTATTGTGACTGTTATAATTACGACATTGTATTAGAAAAATGTGGTCGCAAAATATTGACAGCCCACTTATTAGTTTATAAGTTCACAGAGGTGTGAAGTCAACAT